TTCAAGTAGTGCTTGTATGACCCCAATGTAGAAGAAACTATTGAAGCAAAGAAGTCATTTCAATAAAAATATATTGGTCATCGGGATTAATTTCAACTGTGTATAATAGAAAGACTCCAAATAGCAAGCAATTTGATCGGAGAGAAATTTATTTCCTCCTCTTAAAATCAAGCTTGGGGGTAGGAATGTAAGGATTATTACTGTGGCTTCATGGTGTTATCAAAGAGCCTAATTTTATTTTCTTGTCTCTCCATCCTCAGCACTTAGCTTCTTATCACAAGGTCACTTCACAGTTCAATGTGGTTGCTATTACTACAGACATCACTTCTCCATCCTAAATCAGCAGCTGGAGGAGACACAGTGCATTCTCCCAGGTAAACCACTACCTTCTAAATAAACTCTTACACTGTTCTCAAAAACATTTCTGCTCATATCTTACTGGCCAGGACATAATGTCTTGCCCATGCATAACTGCAAGTAAGGCTAGGGAATGTGAACTATTGGTAGTCATACCCAACACAAATAAATTGGGCTTCTATTGCCAAATAAGAATGGCATATGGATTGTGTCAATCATTATCTCCATTACCATTTATAAAATGATTTTTAAATATGTGGACAGCATGTGGATTACTCCTTATTATTCATCACTCTAAGAATCTATTTTCTCTTCCAATTGTACAGTTGAAAAGAGTGATATTACTAAAAAAAGTAATTAAATGAAAAACTATATTTGATATAAAGTAATCATTTTCATTAGTACTCTTGGACTTAGGATACCAAACTTAGAATGTTTTAAAGCATAATTATCTAATATCTGTGGCTTTGGGCCTCCCCGATGGAGCAGTGGGTTGAGCGCAGTGCACTGTGAAGCTGTCCACAGCAACTGCAGCGCCGGTTTGATTCCCAGCTGGCCAGGGAGATATCCACATGATGTGGCAGACCTCTTCTGTCTTGTCTGCTGCTCCCCTTAGCAGTGTATTTTGGTCCTTCTGCCTGTTCTGCTCCCTGCTTTGTCTCTGGTGATTTCTCTCACCCTTCTCTGCCTCTGGCTTTTACCCCAGTGCTTGTATAAATAAATAAATCTTTAAAAAAAAATCTGTGGCTTTGGACAGAAGAAACCCAATTCATGGAGGAGGAGGTAAGTAAGCTGGTAGGAAAGTGGGGCAGAGCTCTTGCAAATTTGCTCTTCTGATCCACCTTTTAATGGAGTTACTAGGTGAGACTGAAGAAAAGGCAAGGTGAGTTAAGAAATTAAAAAGTGAATAAAAATGGAGACTCGTGTAACTCTTTGGGAGTTACAGGAGTCTATAGTCTTCAAAGAAAAAAAAAACACCCAATATTGTTTACAAACATCAAAAGTAAACCAAGTAAATCTGTTATTGGGCAATGACCCTAGTATCCTAAAGTTTAAAAATGCAATTATCTAAGGAATTCATGCAAAACCCTTGGTATTATCTGAATTACTTGAATAATTGAGATGAACGATGAATGTGGAGTTTCTGCTTGGATTATTCAGATAATTGCCTTAATTCTAAACCTCACTTGGCTGGTAGAGACCTTTCTTTAGGATGTATTTTTGGAATGCTAAAAAAAAAATGCTCCTCAATTAAAGAGCACCACAGAAAGTTGGAGAGGAGGGCACTGAGAGAGAAAGGTGGAAGAGAAGGACAGGAAGAGGAGGGATAAGAAAAGGGGGGAGGAAATAGTATGCAGCTGATTGTCAGAATAAGACTGTACTTTTCCTTCCAAGGACAATTGCCAACATTCACTTTTTCATCATAGAGTGAACTTCTCTAATGAAAGGGGAGACTATATATGGATTTTCCAAATATAACCTGTAGTTATAAATCCCCCTTTATGCTTCAGTTCTCTATAAAGTTTGAAAATCTAGTGACTCTAAGTGTAGTTATTTAATTTTTAAAGCCAAGCAAATTGATTTAAAAGTCATACCATAACTTTGTTTACCTGCATGTTGTTCTACTTTACCTTCTAAGTCTTAAAGGCAAAGAAAAAGGTTGTTTACATTCTGGCTGCCACTTTGTTCTCTTCTTTGAGAGCAGAACCCTGGGCAGTGAGCCCAGCTGAAAAATTATTTGCCAACTTTGTCTAGAACTGGGTGTGTGTCATGTGACCGAGTTCTGATGCATAGGTGCAAGTACTGTGAGAGACTTCTGGGTAGGATTCTTCTTTTCTGGACCGCTTTCTGGCACCAGGGCAAACAAGATACTTAGATTTTCTGTGGCCATCTTGGATCACAGGGTTATCTTAAGAAAATCCGCCTCACTGGCATGATAAAAGATTGAAATAGAAGGAAACTGAGACTATGATGACTCTCCAGCTATTACATCTGCTTGGGGAAGACTCTGCTGCACAGCTTTGCTTAAAAGAGTAATAGCTTCTATTTTGTTCCAGACATTATTTCTAGTCTCTGTTCCTAGAAGGTGAATAGAACTCCTAAATCATGCATACATTAAAGTACTAATTGAAAATACTTTGGAATTGTAGGGTTAAATTTCCAGATATGTATATTGCTGCCACCCCCACCCCATACACATGTCAACACATATATTCCAATTTGTAAACAAAAAAAGTGCTTATTTAAGTTGTGCCTGTACATTTTGTACAATTGCAAAGGATAATATTTGCTGAGGAAACAGTGAGAAAAAAGAAAGCATTATTCAAGAATTTTTCAGTATGCATATGTGGACAAAAAAATGTAGAGGAAGGAAGGAAGGAAAATATAGCAATAGGGTGTTAATAACTATTTTTAATTTATTTTGCAGATTTAGCTAAGATAAGTACAGTATTGGTAGCAAGAGAGTGGGGAAAGATTAATTTATAGAACAGTCAGATGATGGAGAGGAAAAATGGAGCGGCAAGAATCATTTTCTCTTCAGAAGTGGCCCCAATTCTCTCCATCTTTTATGAATTAAGCTATTCCATGAAGCTCTCGCCAATCCCCCTGTAGGAATTAACCTCTGCCTTTTATGTATTTATCAGGACTAGAACAAAGGTATAGTGAGTGAAATATGTGTCTTAGGCTCAAGATTTAAAGGAATGTCAAAAAGCTCAGTAATCAAGATAAATATTTTAATGGGGTGTTTTAATTAGCTCACTGCAGCATGCAGGCTGGTCTCCTGTTTTTGTAAATAAATTTTTAATTATACTTAGCTTTTATCTCTGTTACAGCACTCAAACAGTGCTTTTTATAAACATCCTCTCCCCAAAGAGCTGTACTCATTTTTGTATGCCTTATGTGTCTACTACTCTGTTTCTAACATACAGGCCTCTTAAACACATTAAACTGATTCTGTAAAAGGATTTTGCAAGAATATACTATACAAGGCATGGTGAAGCTATGTTTTCATCATTAAATTCAACTCTAGCGAAAGAATTACAGAGTGAAGAATGTTCTGAAAGTACTTAAAATTCAGTTCTATTGGCAAATCACCTGACTTCCCTTTGACTAAAATCCTGAGCAGTCTGGAGAGTAGAAACCACTTTAGAGTCATATGGCAGAAAATGGCAATGCTGGGGTTTGAACCCAGGTTTTCTGTTTAAAAATTCAATTCCCTTTTGTCACTCCAAACTTTAAACCTTAGGGTTGACTGAGACAATTTATGCAGCAACTACAACAGCCTCTGTTGTGCTTATGAAACAATGTTGGTAGCATGTTAAAAGACGGTATTTTACCAAGTATAGTTGTTATGATTAAAATTGTTGATTTTTACGTGTTTACATTTGATGAGGTAACTCAGCTCTTCTGGCATAGGATCAGGTTTTTATGGTATTTTTTGGTCAAGAGAAGAACCTATATATTGAAATGCCAAAGAATGGGAAATTGAAGGAATCATGTCTTATTTGGTATTAATTTCTAGCTTCATTTTAATGTGTGTGTGATATTCTGCAAGGCATGGAATGCCACAATTGCTCCTTTATTAAAATAAACTTATGGGACGTTCAAACTTTTCAGCAGAAAAAGGTTATTTCAATGTGAAATATTATAGTACTCAAGAGTTAGAAGTTGATAAACTTTTTCATACTTATGGAAAACCTATGACTCTATTTTAAAACTCCATATGGTAATTAAATTTGCTTGAGCGCCTATCGCTGCTTCAAATGTAATTTAGTAAACATAGTAAACACATAACCAAAACCAAAGTGTTAATTTTTAGTCAATCCAGTGGTAGAATTCATACGAAAATTATAGATTCTCTCCACTGAAGGCTGCCCAAAGAATTAAAAACCTTCCCTTTTCTTTTTTGTTTTTAATATATAAGCTGATAGCTGAGTTCCAAGGAAAGTTTCATTCATAGGAGCCAAACTCGAAATTCAACGCCGTTCATCTAAGTGAACTGCAACCGGCCATCAAAAACTACTGAATGTCCCAGGGTACCTAGGCATGGAAGTGGCAAGATACAGTTGCATTATTTAAAGGATTTCTAAGGGGTGTCTGCAGATTTGCAGACCTCTTTACAGATGCAAAACTATGCGTGTGTGTGTGTGTGTGTGTGTGTGTGCTTCTCCGATTTAAACTGCCTTTGCAAGGAATGCACTGGAGAGATGGGGGTTCAGAGCTCCAGGGGCTGCAAACACCCACAGTGACTTCTGGAAGCCAAGACCCCAGGGGGTGCCAAGCCACCAGCGGGCTGGTAGCCAGAGCCCGGGCCCACCGGGGCTTCCAGGCTAAGGGACGCCCAGGGGGCGCGGCCGCAGCCCGGCCCCGGCCACCCCGGCGGCCCCGGCGGCCCCGGCCCGCCACCCCTCCCCTCCCCTCCCCTCCCCTCCCCCTCTCCCACCCCACCCCTACCCCCACCCCCACCCCCACCCCCAGCCCGCGCCCGCTCCCAGCCGCCCAGCCCGGCTGGTTCTCGCGAGATCCGGGCCGCCGAGCGCTCGGGGCCTTTTCAAATCGGGATCCGTTACCGCTCCCCGGCGCCGCCATTGTCGCGCGCGGAGCCCCTCGGCGGAGCGGCGCAGGCGGAGGCCGCGGCGGGGATGGCGGACGCCGACAAGCCCGAGGCGGCCGGGGCCGCCGGCGACGACAGCCCGCGCCCGCAGCCCGCGGAGCCGTCGGCCGAGCCTCGGCGGGAGCCGCCGCCACCGGAGCCGGAGAAGCAGCCGCCGCCGCGCAGCAGCAGCTCCAACGGCGTGAAAATGTATTGTCCTGGGCCCGGGCCCGGCGGGGCGGGCGGGGGGGGCGCGGCCGGGCGGGGCCGGGCCGTGGGGTGGGGGCCGCCCCGAGCCGCGGCGGCCGCGGGAGCAGGTGCAGCCCCGGGCCCCGAGCCGCGGCGCCGCCCCGATTTCTGGCCCGGGACCGCGGGGCCCCCCCACCTCTGCTCTGCCCGGGGCCGGGGCGCCTCTGAGGAGAGCCCTGCGGGCGCCACGGTGCGCAGGGGAGTCGCCCCCATTTTCCAGGCCATTAGTTAGTGTTCATCACTAGGGCGTCACTAGGGATGACATCATCGGCTTTTCCTGCGAACCCCGGGGAGAGCCTCCCCCCTCCACCGCACCCCCAGTTTCCCTGCCTCGTCCTGAGCTCTCCCTGTCCGTGTGTTTTTTTTTGCGGTTTTCTGGCGTGTGTGTGTTCATTTCCCCCGGCCCGGAGGAAGTTGAATAATGTGCTGTGGGAGTCTGGACTCCTTTGTAAGCCCCTGGAATCGAGGAGAGGTGTTTTGAGACGAGAAACCCGGCCTGGTGCCTTCTTTGCCCCCCCTCCCCCTCACCCCATGTTTATCAACCTTGCAGGCTATTTACAGTATAGTCTGTGTGATGGTAGAGTCTTACTTGGGTGTAATGGTGTGTGTGTGTGTATATATATATATATAAAATGTATATATAATATATAATATATATAATATATAATGACTTTTTTTTGTAAATGGAAGGCTTTCCGCTACTTTTAAGGTTGCAGCTGTCATCAGTGCTTATAAAGAATATAAGTGAATCAAATCCATCATTCCTGGTTCTAAGGGAATGGTATGCTTGCCTTTGTTCTCGTTATCATTGAGGGGGTAGGAAATCAAGCATTTTTCATGGGGTCAGCTCTCACCTCAATAAAATTGAAGTTGAGCACATTTTAAAATAGTTTAGTGGAAACTTCTTTTTCCTGATATGCCTCCTAGTAGAAAGCAGTGAAAATATACTCTAAAATAAGGCAGATGTTATGTTGAGGGTTTTTTTTTTTGGGTGGGTGGGGGGCGTTGGTTGGTAAAAATGTTTGAAACAGTGTGCTGAGACCTGGAACAGTCTGTGTAAGGGCTGTTTGCTGGTAAGATTTGGGAGCTCTCCCAGCTAGGTTAGGACACTTGCTCTCAATTGTGTTTGGATAGGATCTGCAGCATCTTCTATTCAAAATAGAAGTACAGGTGGAAGAGATTTATCCTCAGTAGAGTTTGTTTGACTCTGTGGAAAGTGGTGCCCCACAGTAACTGAGAAACTGAAAAGTGAGCACAGCACTTTCTACTGTGCCTTCCAAAACGTTTACTTTCAGTGATTTAGCATTACACGTATGAGTGAAATCCAACAGAGAAGGAATCTTAATACGGTTGCTTTTTGTTTTCTATCTAAACATGGACCTGTCACCCTTTTCTCCTGAACAAAAAAGTATGGCCTTGAATTACACAGAGAAGCCTTACTATACTTGGGTATAATTAGTGAGAAAGCACTGGTACAGGTAAAGCTGGTAACTAAACCTTCAGCTCTAAAAGTCTAATCTCTTAAAGCATCATTGTGGTGTAGCTGGACTGGAAGGGACATAGATGGGAAAAGAAGCACTTTCACTTCTAATTGAGAAAGGAAAATAAAAGGTGAAGAAATAAAGGAATGTTACTAAGTAAATACAAATGCGGATTCCCTTCATATCACTTATACTTCATCTTTCTCCCTTTCTCTTTTCCCAGAAACCATCTGGGAAAAGAGACCACTTTACATCCAGTACAGTTCTTGTTCTGCCTATCATAGCGTGGTTCAGCATGGGTCACTCGGTTGAACAAGTGGGGACCTTTTCTTATATCAACCCAGCATTTCTTTTTTTAACTCTGTAAACCAACTGGAATAGTTAATAACCCAGCACATAAATACAAATTAAGTCACATTAAAATTGATTTTTCAATTATAAATACACCTTGAATTGGTTACTGTGTATTTTTAATGATAGGAATTCAACAAGATGTTAAAATTCCCAAATACTGCTTTAAAATAGAGTGCCACTTGTCATTAAGATTGAAATGACTTTTGCAGAGGTTAATCCATAGTTAATCACTGAGGAGGGAGACCACTGAATCTTACTCATCTTTATACTTAGGAGACCTGCTAAATATTTAAGAAATTCACAAGTGAACTTTTCTGATCTATTAAACTTATATACAGAGAATGTAGTTTACATGTTCACGTCGTTTGACAAGAAATTAAGGAGTGTCTAGCACTAGTCTTTTTCTTTATTCCAAAATGGCATACTAGTTCTTCCTTTGAGCGAATAACAAAAACAGCAGTATTGTTATTTCTTTATTATTCAAGTGTATGTGATAAAATAACACCTTGGAGTATATGGAGAATTACATTAGGATATTTGTGGGTACTTAACATAAAATATTAAGCATTGGAACAAGGAGTAGAGAATGGAACTGGCCTTAATTTTGGATCTCATACTATTGCATTATTCTTAAGTCACATTAAAACGTATTTATTTAATGTTGGATAATTGATTTTTCAGAAATGTGTTGTAATTTGAGTAGGTATAATTCAGTTACAATAGATATCATTTTTTGTGACTTAGAATAATTAGTCTTTATTTCAAGTACATTAAAATGGGAGTCAGCCTAAAAGAATTATTACATGGAATTCCGAATAGTCTTTTTTATATAGCATCATTTCCCTAAGAGTTTTCACATGTTTTTGCTCTCTTTTCATAGTGTATTTTTGACAAGAGAACATATTCAGATATTGACTGGTCAATTATAGCTCATATTCTTAGTAATTAAATCATATCTCCAGACTAATCTGCCTTCCATAGATAATTTATGCATTGTAAAATGAGCAATTTAGCATTATCTTTAAAATGCCACTAAGTGGGGAAACTTGAAGAAATTGCTCTTTTCTGTTGTTCTTCAAATCAATATTTAAAACAGGGTGGTTTTTAATAAAATTGTCAGATTGATGCTTAGAACATACCTGTAAGTGTAGAAGAACAGTGTGTTCAGAACTTTGTGCAGTTTTCATGTTTGGTTTCTTCCCTGCTGAAAATAATCAGCAGGGATGGGTATGTAACTACAGATCATGTAGTTAATCTGCTCACCTGAATAGAGACTTAGTTATTTTAAAATTAGTTACTGAATTGACGCTAATATGTAAATGGGCTTTTTTGAGGACTAAAAAGAAGGGTTTGTTCTTGTATCTGCTGTACCCAGAAACAAAGAAAAGGCATCTGTCTTTTGGCTGCTTGCTGCCACTTTCAAAAGTGCCCACTCTGTTTAGGCAGGTAGAGAGTTGTACAGTTGTGACGATCCCTTCAGGCTGTGCCATTTCTGATGAGGCAAGAGGTTTGATCAATAAGGTAGTCCCTGCCAGGGTTTGAAAAGGTAGTAAAAACAAGTTTGATGTGATGTCTCTTCCTTGATTTTTAGCAGTTTTTCCGATAGACACCAGCACTGTCTGTCCTGGGATGAGTATGGGTTCCTAATTGATGGTGTATTCATTCAAAATTTAATATTTTCTGAGTATATGTTATGTGCAGTCACCATGCTAGATCTTGCTGACAGGAAAGAGAAGACAGTTTTTGTTGTCACAGAGTTTTAGATAGTACATTATGATTGTTGTTAACTGCTCAGAAAAGTAGTATCTAAAAAGTCAAGGAACAAGTGACTAAAATAAGAGGGTATGAGAGTAACTACAGTGTGTAGATTCCCACTATGCTTGACTTAGAAGATAATTTAGAGCCTGAGTTATGAAGCCTGGTTTATTGTCAGAATACTCCAGGAAGTTTTAAAAGATTGATTCCTGGATGTCATGCCCAGAGAGTTTCACTAGTTATGCATGGGAAAAATTGCTTTTAAGTTTTTTTTAAATTTACTACTAGCGTAATTAATGATTTAAAAGAAACCTGTTGCTCCTTATTTTGTTTAAAATATTCCTTTTGAAAATTGCACTGTACAAATTCAGATTTTTATAAGATTTACTGTAAGGGTAAACTTAACATCTTATGGACATTGGTGGATAGCATCATTTAGTTGCAGTGTGATTGTACTCTTCAACAGTTTTCCAGTTTGGAGTTTCTAAAAAACAGATTTACAGAATTTGCATTTAAGTACTTTACTTCTTTTGCCCCACTGCTCCATTATAGGTAACAATACCAATACAAATAGCCTAATTCTGTGAAGTCCCCTGTCCCTAGTTTATAAGTAATATACAGAAAATATTTAGCTTGAAAATACTAGAATACCGTATCAGTTTTCTAATGTTCAGCCAAATTAAGATTAGAAAATGTGCATGAGTCATATGGGAATATGTACATATATAGACATAACCATGTATTTTGATAATGATTTTAAGTAATAGAGGAGAAAAATTCTGGGAAGAAACCGTTAACCTTTAAGAAATGAACTTTTCAGGGTATTTTGTATAAGTTTTTATGGAATTCTGAATGAGGCCCAGAGTTAATTCTCCATTAAGGGTGTCACCATTACATAGACTAGGCATGAAATCACCCTCCCCTCCCCTTGTTAGGTTCTAATAACATTTATTAACTAGTATAATGGAACAATTTGGGTGATTATTTGATACTGTACCTCTTTAACTTGGGAAAAATGAGGACTTGTTAATGAGCACTAATATACTCAAAGCCATGTTTTGATATGGCATTGGGTAATTTCAGAGCCATCAGACTGACTCTCCAGCTGCTTTTCTGAGGTCAAACCTAGTGTAAAGTTTTGTGACCTAAAGTGATAAATATTTTATATTTAATATAGATTTCTATTATTAGAAGCATGACTGAGGGTTTTTTTGTTGTTGTTTGCTTTTTTTAAATCATAGGGAGAATGATGAATCAGTAAAAGAAGAAAAATCTGAATTGAAAGAAAAATCTACAGGAAATAAGAAAACCAATAGATTTCATCCTTATTCAAAAGACAAGAATTCAGGCACTGGAGAAAAGAAGGGTCCAAATCGTAACAGAGTTTTTATTAGCAACATCCCATATGACATGAAATGGCAAGCTATTAAAGACCTAATGAGAGAAAAAGGTAACCATCTCTCATGAACCCATTGTTGGATTATTTTCGTATAGGTGGGGGAGGGAACTAAACTAAGCAAACTTTTTTTATTCCTCAGAGCCACAGACTCAAAAAAATTGCTTTTTGTGTATTTCTTGACACATGAATTAATCTTTTCCTCTACACAATTTCATTACAAGATAGTATGGATAAATGAAGTTTTTTTTTTTTTGCCATTCTATTGGAATAGTAGCGAGCCAGTATATGCATGCCACCAAGAATTTTGTTAAAGTGATTGCTTTGTCTAGTTGATGTTTTTATAGAATTTTAAAGGACTGTTGCACTAGTTAAGCAATACATTTAGCTTGTTAAAGTATGAATAATAAGGTCTGATTATATTTTTTTTCCAAAAGCTGTTTTGTTATTATCTTGGTGGAGTCTGGATCTGGCTGTGGAATTCATTTTGTTTGCATTGTCATGACTGCTATGATGCTGTCTCTGCAGTTCTATATTAAAATTGTGTTACTGCTGTCGCAGTTTTGTTTTCAGAATAAAACCTGAAAACCTTCATATTATATACATGGCTGGTTTTGGGGAAAAATAATTTTAATACTTGTAAAAGTTAGTTTTGTTATCTCTTGAAAAATTGAGTTTCAACAGTCCTGCAAACTATGTATTTGGTTTTGAGGCTGATCTCTTCTAATAAATTTAAAAAAATTTGCATCGGTGTATCTGTTGTAAGGTGACAACTATTTGATTGGTTTTATTCATTGACTTTATTTAGAAAGTGTGTGGCTTGCTGTGAAGCATGACTTGTAAATTTAGTTTATTGATGGCAAACATGATTGAAGACATTCAGGTAGAAAGTCACCTTAAAACAGCTGTTGTGTGTAGGCGACCAAAGTTATTTGAAAAGTGCTAATGTTGATGTTTTTTAACATGATAGGCTAAGGGACCATTTGTATGTATATGTGCATTTGTTCACCAACTATATCATGCTGGCCAAAATATGATCTGTAGTATGAATTAGGTTAATATGGTTGTTAGCTTTTTTTTAGAGAATGTGGATGATGTATATTTCTGAAAATTAGTTAAATTTACATAGCCATTGACAGGAGGTATGTTGGTCTGGTTTTGATTGTTGGTGAATAATAGGTGCTTTTCTGTAGAGTTGTGCACAGGTGTGCAGTAAAGCAAGATATTGGTGTTTAAATGTATTGTTTCTTGGTATCTTCCTTTTGTATGTCTTATGTAGTTGGTGAGGTTACATACGTGGAGCTCTTTAAGGATGCGGAAGGAAAATCAAGGGTAAGTGCTGTGGGCAATAATCTGCTTGAGGTTTAAAAGTTCCTCAGCAGTTTACTTTACTTGTACCAGTTTTTGGAAACTTAAGTTTCATTTTGTTTTCCCTTATTATTGCAAGATTTGAGGCTTTATACTAGCAAGTCTGATACTTATACAAACCAAACTAGCTGCCTGGAAGGGATGGGTTTTGTAAAAGCTCATAAAAGGCATTCACTTTCCTAATGCTTTAAGGTAATGCTTCTTAGTCAATAGATTTTAATCTAGGATTTTTTTTTTTTGTTGTGTTTTGATGTCTTCAAGGATACTTTAAAAATCACTGAATTGATAATATTCCCTAAGAGTTCAATGAGAGGCCTTTAACGTTAAGGTGTTAATTCAGAATGTATGTTTGAAACTTATAACGAAGAGCTTAGTTCGGTACCCTGCAGGATTACATAAGAGGCAGTGCTCTGACCAATTGGTTTGAATGACATTGATGATTAAATCGACATAGAAGGAATTGGTTGATAGTAGATTTGATTTTTAGCAACAAGAATGTAGTACACTAAATAATACAACAGAAAGTACTTAAAAATGTTCAATTAACAAAAACCATTTGGATGCATGAGAAATAGAAACTTGTCATCTCATTCAAATAGCACTTTGAGCAGTAATAATCACAAGGAATTATTTAAGAAATAAGTCCACAAAGTTGTTTCTTTAGCATACATGATTTTATTTTCATAATTACAACTGGATGCTATTAAATTGTGTGCAGCCAGTTTTCTCTCATACAAAACTTTGTTTAAAATGGGATAAGTGTTCCTATTTTGATTTTCATAAAATTGAAACATGCATTAAAAACAGTTTTTGAATAATACATTTTTTGAAAATATTTGTAACTATGTAAGATAGGTATATTGGAACCTTCATTTATTTTGAGTTGTGATTGACTTTGTACCATGAGATTATTTTAGTTTTAACTTCAAGGGTCATCTGAAAGTAAAAATGTGTTCCAAACTTGTTAAATGCTAGATTTTACTGTTTCAAGTATATAGATTTAAAAATTTATGGAAAATTTGTGGTCACTTGCCTGTTATGTTCTGGAGGTGTAAAAGACAAAAAAAAAAAAATTGTATTATCGATTGCTTTTAATGAACTGAATGTTAGACTATCATTAACTTCATCTACTGATCTAAAACTTTTTTCTTTTGCATATATATGTATATTGACAAATCTTCCTGGATTATAGGGTTGTGGGTAAGAATTTTTTTAAGTATCTTAAGTCAAATTTAAATTTCTAATTGAAAAAAGTCTTAGTACATAAACATTTTCTATAAAATTTTTTCCCATTAAGTGTGGTTGAATTCAAAGATGAAGAATTTGTAAAGAAAGCCCTAGAAACTATGAACAAATATGATCTTAGTGGCAGACCCCTGAATATTAAAGAGGTAAGATTTTTTTTTACATTTGGAATAATTTTAAATACTTGAATATAAGGAGTAGGTTTTTTTTTTTTTTATTTTTACTTTGGTCATATATCTGTCTGTCTATAACTTAATTATTAAAGCATTATATATTGATGAGTTTTCCCTGTACATAATTTCTTATTTTCCCTTAGCAGTTATCCTATGTTTTTGATTTGTTCTAAGTTTGTATATGCAGAGGTGCATGATTTAAAAATAATTTTAAGCTAGAAATTTAAAGATGGCAAGCTTTAGATGCTGTCTTTGAGATAATCACTGACAATTTTTAGATTAGGTTGTTTAATTTGAGGGATATAGAAGATATTCTTGTAGTTGATGATTAAAAGTTGCTTAATAATGCAAATACCTGAATAAAATTGGAAGTCGCTTTTAATGCAGTTAACCTGAATTTGTGTTGGATTAATATTTAAGAAAGATTATAAATTTAGCAGAATTTACAGCTGGAACTTAGAATCCTGTAAAATGGAGGTAATCCTTTTGTATGGAATTGTAGTGGTTATAAGTTGATAAAAAAATCATCAGAAGATGCATTTAAAAAAAACTATTTACACTTAGGGATAAATAACGGGGATGATGGGCTTGAACAGCGGTCCTTTTTGTGTTTTTCTTTATTTCATATTGTTACTCTCATCTGAATACTTTGATCACAGACCAGTTATACACGTATCTTTGCTCAAGTTTATATTAAAAAACAGGTAGAAGATGTGTCTTGGGACCCAGACTAGTCTCCGTGAGATGGATGCTAATCATTGGTAGAAGAGCAGTACTGTTTGAGTTTAACTTAGTATACTAGTGATTGGAGTCACACCAGCTCTATCACTTTTCAGTTGTGTGATTAGTCATGTTACTTATTCTCCAAACTTCAATAATTATAATACTCCTGACAGCTGAATTTTTATGAGGATTAAATCAGATACACAGTAAAGAATCTGACATTTGAGAATTTGTGTGACCTGGGACAAATTACTTAACCTTTTTATTTCCTTACTACTAAGATGGAAATGATACCAAAACCTATCTTGTAGTATTATAAGTACTGGAAGAGTTAAAATATGTAAAAAACTTAGTAAGTGTTTAGGTATTTGTTATAATTGGATATTATATTAAACACTTAGCACAGGGTAATTACATAATAAATGTTAGCTATAAGAGTGATTATTATTTCCTATCCACTGTGGGAATGTTACTAGATCTCTTGTTCCTGAATATGAAGTGATAATATCTTAAAATTAAAGGTCATCCTATTAGCAAAGACAGTTATTTCATATCCTTTCTGAATTCCTCTAATCCTGATGGAACCTAGGAGTCAATAAATATTTAATTTTAAAATATTTTGGGAAGTGGAGAATTGGTAAGAAAGTTTAGACTTGTCATGGTGGTTTTTATGTATAAGCCAGCGCCAATGTTCCAGAAATGTGTTGCTATACTAAGTAATTCCCCATAGGTATGACTTTGGTAGAACAACTACCATTGCGGAAAATTATTTTTATGATTTGATGTTTTATGATGCTTCCTACTCCTTTCAAAAGAAAAGCATTATAAATTTTTAATTGAAAAAAGAATTTATTGGCTATTAAAGACCAAGGCCATGCATTTGTTCTCGTGTTAGCATACTGTAGATCATCCATAATATTTCAGAGACCTTAGAATAAAGTTAAAGTTATGTGATCCAAGTTGATGTAGTAGGCGTCTTCATTTTTAACTAATTTAAGAAAAATAGTTGAGTGTTGCCTAGCTAAATGTTGGTGGTTTTTATTCAACTGATGGTTTTGGATTAATACTAAAGGTTCTATTCCTGAGAATGAGATTTACAAATAGATAACTGGAGTCAGTGCTAAGAACCAATGAGAGACTAAGGAAAAGTACATTTCTAGTGTTCCTTAATAGATATTAGAATTGCATTTTTTCATTCAATTTAATGAGGATTTTTAGCAGTTGTGAACTTACTATAGATCTTCTTGTAGCAAATCAGGCAGTGATTGGCAGGCTAACTCTCAAGGGGAGAAGAGGAATAAAAAACATGGTTTATAGTAGATAATTTGTTTTATATAAGTTATATATGTTCTATATATGCATATATGCATATTTGTATGTGACATATATAAAAGACTGAACTTAGTACTATGCTTTATTAATGTTAAAATGTTAAGAACAGCCTCTTAATAGTTCATAAAGCATCTTCCCTATTTCCGTCTCTCAAAAGTAACCACTATCCTAAATTTTCTATTTGCATAAAGTTTTAAAATCCTAGACCTGAAGTATTTAACTTAAAAGTTTTATAGAATTCTTTGAAATATTGTTTCTTTGTGTATTTTTTTTAATTCTTAATGATGGAGGAATATATTAGAAAACCAGAGTACTATTATTTTTACATTTAATTTGTCACCTTCTGAACACTAAAAACTTTTTTTTTAGTATTCCCAGGGTAAGACCATAGAATAGAGTTGATATTTACATTTTTCATAATCATTTGGTATTGCATATTGTAGTCTATTAATGTATGCATTTGTGTGTGTGTGTGTGTGTGTTCCAAGCTAATGAGAGAAAAGTATGTTTAAATATTTCTTGGTTTTATTCAAAGATAGAAAATTTCTCTTACCAAAGTTAATTAACTAAAAAAATAAGCATTGTTTAGTATAATTTTTCACTAGAACATTTAGCTTTTATCTTCCCCTTCCCTCCGTCTTAGATCTAAATCACTGTTGAGGATGGAAAGAGATTGGAAAAGTAGATAGGCTTATTTTGTTCAAGAATGAAATTTATACTTTGTAATAGTTCGCCTCTACCCCCATATTCCTTCATAACTGTTTCACTGCTGAAAAACTTTGAATTAGTCTGAATTTGGCACTGCGTTAGGCTTCCATTGGTGAAAATTCACCATTACTGCATTTTGGAAAGGAGTCATGGTAAGTACTTTATTCTTGAATTAGGTGTATGAGCCGTATCCTGCACTAGATGAGGGTAAATTAAAAGGATTTCAAGTTCTTAAGTGACTTTAGTGATTGGAAAGTGGTATTTATCTGACATCTCTGGAGACTGAAATCTTTTGTCTGTCCACAGGTTTTTAATGGGACTATATTCTCTGGATGAGAAAAAAAGTTCACTCTTCAAGAGAGTCAATAAATTGAGCCAGATTGGATAGCTGTTGTAGATTTTGAAGTTGTTACTTTAATTGTACAGTTTTACTCTTGTGCATCTAGTGGCATTTAACATTCAATGTGTGTTATAGGATCCTGATGGAGAAAATGCTCGTAGGGCGTTGCAACGAACAGGAGGATCATTTCCAGGAGGACATGTGCCCGATATGGCATCAGGGTTGATGAATTTACCACCTTCCATTCTCAATAATCCAAACATTCCTCCTGAGGTTATAAGTAATTTGCAGGCTGGTAGACTTGGTTCAACAATTTTTGTTGCTAATGTAAGTTTTAAGTTTCAGTCTAAAATTTTGTCATTCAGGTTTAGTTCTAAGCATGAGATTATATAATGAGATGAATCAGTTATAGGTTTATAGAACATTTTGCTTAATTTTAACTAAATTAAGATGAACAGTAATTATTATAACATCAAACCCAATTTAAGTCAATATATATGCATCAGGTTAGATTGTAAATATAAGTATTAGGAATTTTTGAATGAGAACTGTGGAATTTATTAGCATTTAAGCAGTTCTTGAAATTAATTTTATTGATTTTTCATATTGGTGAATGAATTTCTTTAGCTTTGATATTTCATATTTGTGAATGTGCATGTTGTAGTTGTTGTGTCATTTGTTTTAAGCTTATGAACGTCAGTGATAGCAATAATACTTTCTAAAATCTGAACTTAGTAAAAACAGATGTGCATGTTTTAAATGTACAAAGCAGGATTGAGCAGTTGAGAAACTGGGGAATTCAAAAAATTAAGGATAAGGAACAAGGTAGATGTAGCTTCACTGATTTTAAGTAATTTAAGATGGTTCTATTTGAATACTGTTGATAAACTGTTATACAAGAATTACAGTTCTTTATAGTTTTGAGACTTTAGAAAAGATTTGTTTATATTATTTATAAGGGGGAAGAAGGGTTTATTAGGTCTGTAACTTAATATGATTTTATGTTAAGCTTGACTTCAAAGTTGGTTGGAAGAAGCTAAAGGAAGTGTTCAGCATAGCTGGAACTGTAAAGCGGGCAGATATTAAAGAAGACAAGGATGGCAAGAGCAGAGGAATGGGCACAGTCACTTTTGAACAAGCAATTGAAGCAGTTCAAGCAATTTGTATCCTGATTAACACTTTAGCATTATTTAATAAGGTTGAACGAATGATTCAATTTGTTGAATCATGGAATTTAGAAAATATGTTTAGAGAACACATTTTACATGGCTTACAAATGTGTTTTAGACTTTAGTCTCCAGTGCATAAAAACCTTTACTATGTCCAAGTACTAAAGTCACTCTTAAAACTTGAATTCACCATAGTGTATATGTAGGCTTGACCTTTTGTCTGTTTTCTCTTTCTGACACACTGATTGTATGTAGACAGTTAGGTAATCCGTTGTCCATTAATGCAGTTCCTTTAAATGAAGTCTTATTTTTTCCGATGCTTAAAAGATTATTTTATTTATAAGATGAAACTCTAAAGCAAAGAATTGAAGATGACTGAGTATATGAAGAGATTAATACAAGTGAGCAAGATATTTAAGATGGTGAATAATGTTAAAAATAGTTTTAAATAGCATTATTACAGATGTATTTATGTTCAAGTGTAATTTTATAGTCTTAACTGGTTTTCCTTGACTGAACCAACAGCTATGTTCAATGGGCAGTTTTTGTTTGATAGACCTATGCATGTGAAAATGGTGAGTTCCTATATATATCACCTCAACCCTCCCATCTTCATATCTTTTTCTGCTCTCCTCTACTTTACACATCTTTTTAGTTATACAATTAACCATTTAATACACTTTTTTGCAATTAGGATGACAAGTCTGTCCCTCATGAAGACTACCGGTCCCATGATAGTAAAACTCCACAATTACCACGTAAGTTAAAGCTATTATTAGAAATAATACAGACAGTTCTTTTCCAGTTTTTTTATGTGCTAAAGGAAAATCTTTTTTTTTTATGCTTCTATCTCAGGTTGCCTGTATTTTAGGATTAATTTGAAGTGATTGATTAAGAAGACAAATGGGTCATTTTTTTTTTCTTTTTCTTTTGGGTAGTTTCTCTTGATTATAAAAGCAATATAAAAGCAGTTTTTTTATGGGGGAAAAAATCCTTGTAGGATATATGTACTTCTATATTCATTGTAGCACTATTTACAATAGCCAAGTTACAGAAGCAACCTAAGTTCCCCTAGAACAAGAGTGGATTTGCACGATGTGGTATATATACATAATGCAGTACTATTTGGCTATAAAAAAGTTGAGCTCTTACCATTTGTAACAGCATGGATAGAACTGGAGGGGCTAATGATGTGAAGTAGGTCAGAAGGAGAAAAACAAATACCAGATCATTTCACTTACATTTGGAATGTAGAGAAACAAAACATAGGGTCAGGCAAAACCACATTAATAACAAAACCCTGGAAATTTGACTGAAATTGAGGCTACAAGAAATCTTGGAGTTGAACACAGTGGGGGAGAGGAGCACAGTGGACTATGGTGCAGGACTGTAGGTGACTTAGTGGGGTGGGGTTGGGGACATGCATGTGAAATGATGTGATCCTATACAAGTGTTAAAAACCATTGTTACCTAAATTTTAAAAAAAAAAAATAAAAAGTCAGCTGAAGTGGGCAATCATAACAAAAATAGAAGGTGCTTCATAGAGCAAATATTATTTGTTTATTTCAGTTATATTCTATGTGTAAATATATGCATGTCTGAATTTATTACACTGCAGTGTGATATAAATTGTATTTATTACTGTTTATCATAGAAAATTTGAAAAAGTTCCAAAACCACTAATTAAATTTTCCTCTGAAGGAGAAAAAAATTCTTTATCACCCTTAAGTAATTTTCATGATAACATTTTTATATATTTTCTTCCAGTCTAGCCTTCTGTGTATGTATTTTTTACATAGTTTAGAAGTATGGTATATTTTTGTATTTTTTAAATGTTAGTTTAAGCTTTATTACATGTTGAAAATACTTTCCAAATGTTTTTATTGGCTGTATTATAGTTTATCATACAGATGCTCCATAACATTTCACTGTTACATACATCCATCTAGGTGATTTAACTCTTTCCTTTAACGATCAACAGAGTAAGTAATCTTTTTGTATATAATCTTTGGTATGCTTTTAGTTATTTCCTTAAGATAGGTAAGACACCCTGAAGTAGATTTATATAGGTTCTTAAGGTATACTTAATGATCTGTATTATCAAATAGTTTCCAAAGGATTATAGAACAGTAATGTAATGTACTTAACATCTCTGTTGTAACATCTTTGTTCCCATCTGCAAAATGGGAATAATAATATCACTTCCTTCATGGTGTTGGCATGAATATTGATTGCGTGAGTGGATATAATGATAAGCACTTAGTTCTGGTATAATATAAGCACTCAATACTTATTGTTTAGGTATTTAAAATTTGGTGTGTGGCATGTTGTATAACTGTGCAACTTGGCTATTTTTGAGATTCATTCATTTTGCTAGAAGTAGCTCTAGTTCCTTCATTTTAACTGCTAAACCACATTTTATATATTTTTTTTAGGTTATTCTAATTTTTTGTTATTAGCAATAATACTAAGTTGGGGAGGGTTCTATAGCAGAGTGATGTCTTTTCTTAGTGTTTGATCAAGATTACTTGTAAAGCCATACGGTGTGGTATATTGTTTTGGGAAATAATATATTTTGCGCTACTTTATGAATCAATTTCAGTAATTATATTTTTTTCTAAGAATTTTACCACTTTTTCATTTACAGATTTATTGACATAAAACAGTCATTTCAATTTCTTTCACATATATAGTTGTGTCCTTTTAATTTCTGAAGGTTTGTAATTCCCTTTCTTTTCCTTTGCCAGTTTAACTTAAAGATTTGTTAGTTTTAGCACTTTGAAAGAAGTGAATTTTGTCTTATGTATGTTAATATCTGTTCTTTATTTCCTTCTGATTCTTTAGGTTAGTCTCTTAGTTTTGTTTTAACTCCCTAAGTTGAATGCTTACTTCACTAATTTTTGCAACCTTTTCTAATATAGTTATGACTATAAATTTAGCTGCTATGCACAAGTCTTGCTGTGGAGTACATACTGCAATTTAATTTTTAAAGTTTTATTAAATTACTGTTATTTCCCTTAAGTTATGCTCTTTTATTAAAATTTCCAAATGTTTGATTTTTTTTCTTATTAGTTTCTAACTTAACAGTGTAGTGAGAGAAGATAGCCTGTAAGATTGTGACCCTTTGGTATTAATTTGGACTTTATATTATGGCTTAAAGTAGAGCACATTTTTTATAACTATTCTAGGTGTACTTGGTGATTGTGGTGTTCTATATATGTCCATCAAGTCAAGATTTATTAATCATTTAAATTGTCTTTTGTCTCTACTAATAATTTTGTCTGATTTTGATATTAATTACTAAGAGATGTATATGATAAAATCACCCGAACTTGTCTGTTTTTTCTTGTTGCTACTTTATTTTGGATCTTGGTGAATTGGAGTTTAGAACTAATATTTTCTTAATGAATTAAAATTTGATCATTAATAGAGTGACTTTCATAATTATTTGTTTGTTGTCTAATCCTAATGTAAATACATACCTTCTGTCATTCATTGATTTGTTTGAATTCCTATTGTCTTGTTTTGTGTTCTGTTTTTCTGCTTTTTACAAATACTTACTTTTCCCCTGTATTAGTTTTAGTGGTTATCTTGGCTATTTTAGTATGTCTGTATAAAGTCTGAAGTTAATCATTGTTTTGCTCTGTAGTAGAAAGCCTTTGAATGCTTCAATTCTAACCACATTCGTACTGAATTATGTTATTATTTAGTGTTTTACTTCTCTATTACTCTTTTTCAGTCCCACAAATTAGATATTATTGCTTGCTTTTTTTGTCTACTTTCACATTTCACGTCTGTGCTTTCACAGACTCTGAAGCTTGTTTTATAAAAGCTCTTTCAATGAGAATGTTGTTAGTAAAGTCTCCAAATTTTGGTTTGTTTGTAAATAATTTTAGTATATGTGCTGCCGAAGCGAGCACTGTTTGTAAATAATTTTAAAGATAGTTTCACTGGTTATATAGTTTGAGATTGATAACTATTTTCTCTCAGCACTTTGAAAATATTCCAGTCTTCTGGCGCTTTTGTTACTATTAAGTCAGTTTTCTGTTGAACTATCCTTTTTTTTTTTAAATCTGTAAACTGTATTCTTCATTTAGCTGATTTTAAAATTCTTATCTTTGATATTCAGTTTTATTACATTGTAGGTGTGGAGTGCTATTTCTTGAGCTTCCACAGTTTGAGAATTCAGTTTTTTAAAAGATTTTAATCTTTTTAAATAAATTCTGGAAAATTCTCAGTGCCTGTGTCTTTGAGTATTACATTTTGTTCCTTTATTGAACAGTCCTTAGCTGCTTCCACCGAGTGTACCTTATCGCTCAGGGTATCATTTTTCAGGATCCTGGTTTTATGTGGAGGCTTCCAATTTGCATTTTTGCTTAATACTTTTTATTTAGATTAAAGAAAAATTCTCTGTTATATGCATGCTGTTTTACTGTTCTTTTTGAGATTTATGTTTTTATGTACTCTTCTCTCAAGACATAATATGATCTCAGACCTTTGAGGCAGTTCAGTTTGTTTTAATTAAGTTAATAATTACTAACCTCCTATTTTCCTTTCTTCCCTCCTTCCTCTGCTCTTGAAGTGGGAACCTTCTCATCTCCTATGTCCCTGATATTCTTACTTTTGGGTAAAAACAGAATTTCTCAGATTCATGAATATTTTCTTTTTCCAAGACATGGAATTTGCCTACTTTGAAGGAGATCTATCTTTTAGTGAAGAAAAATATCAAGGATAAAAATATGAATGCTAGGTATAGGCATGAATCTTGTTGATGGTCAAATGTGCTGTTGCTTTCAACTGGATCGTTTTTAGGAACTGAACTGAAAGACAGTATTTCCTTTACCAGGTCTTGTTGCTCTTTCGAAATAATACAACCTACCTCTGTACTTTGCCTTTTAAATACATACACATGTATATAATATATGTGTGTGTGTGTATATATACATAGTATAAATTTTTTTAGTCCCACCACCTATTAATTGCTACATTGACTAGCAAGAACTTTGAAACCATATTCAGATGAAGTAGAATCAGAGTTTTCACTCAAATGGTAATTAGTCCTATCTTGTTTAAAGGCATCAAATTATTTTCTTAAAGTCTGTTTTTTAACATTTTAGTTTAAGAGAGGTAGCAAAAACCAAATTCTATTCTTGATCTCATAGCTAAGTGGCATTGTGTCAAAATTTCCTCTCCTATAAATACCAAGTACGAAAACTCTCTAAGGTGCCATATAAATATAAATATTGATGCCATTGATAAAACTAGGAAATAGCTAACATTTGCTTTTTTAAGTATTATGTTTTCATGGTTTAGTTTCTAGTTTGAATTATCTTAAAAGTAATTCTTAGGTTTTAAATGGTTCTATAAATTCCAGAAAGATTCTCATTTTCACGTACGCCATTTATAAGGTCATATAGTATTAAAAGTCCTCTTTGTATTTCATTAGTACTTTCTGATGTACCTTTAACTGAATATAAAAATGGATTTCATAGAACACTTCTTATTGATAAGTGGTATTTTGTTGAGGCTACAGTGTCCTGTATTTGCAATGAAAACAAAATCCAATGTTCTTGTTTACAAATTGATACTATTACAGGCAAATAACTTTAAAATTATGTTTAGTGCCAGTTAGCTAATCATAATATGAGTTGACTATATTGTTTTTCTGTGTGTTTTAGGTGGTCTTGGAGGCATTGGAATGGGACTTGGTCCAGGCGGACAGCCTATTAGTGCCAGCCAGTTGAACATAGGTGGTGTAATGGGAAATTTGGGTCCAAGTGGTAAGCTCACTTTCTTAACTTCTTTTTAAATGATAAAGACTAGATAGACTAGATAAAGCTTTTATTGCTAGACTAGATAAAGCTTTTATTTACTAGTTTTTAATGTTTAAGGACCTATTTGATAGTTGAATGTTAGGATGTCTTTCAGTCTGAAAATGGAATGAAACCTTGGGAGCAGAGAACAAAAAAAGAGGGTGGGCAAAAAGGTCATGAGGGTTTTCCTGAGGCCAGTTGTGTTGTAGCTAGTCTTTTAGCACTGTGGACTTGAAATGTCTTTTAGGCAACAAATATATATATCCTTGTATATCATGGATGTACAGTATTTGTGGAATGACTGAAATTCTACCATATCATAAACAATTTTAAGTTTGTAGATCTAGTTAGGGAGGAGCTTTTCAAATAGCTATTTTGCTCTTTACATGGACTAACTTAGAGTTTATTTTTGAAGACTGGTTTTAAAAATGTTTGGTTTCAGAACCTTTTAATAGCCTTAAAAAATTGTTGAGGACTCCAAGGGGCTTTTGTTTATGTGATTATACTTAGCAGTATGTATTATATCAGAAATTTTAAAAAATACATACTTATTTACAAATAATAATAGTAAACTCATGTGTTAAGAAATCATATTTTCCAATACAAAAAATTATGCCCAGAGTGGCATTGTTTTACCTTTTTGTACATCTTTCTAATATTTGGCTTAATGTAAGACCCCAGGCTGTTAAATCTGCTTCTGCATTTAGTTTGTTTCTATATCATACATCATTTATCTCTGGAATATTCTGACTTATATACATAAGAGAATCAGAGTAAAATGGACAAATACTATCTTAGCATAATTTGATAAATGAAACAGTTTTGATCTATTGCACTCTCAAGGGCCCCTATACCATACTTTGAGAACTGCTGTTTTAATGATGAACTAATAAGCTCTATCAGATACCTAGTTTTGTTGAGATGCGATAGTTACACTTTAAGGAGGAGTTATGGTAATCATATTGATCCAAACAGAAGGAGATTTTCTCCTTTACTCTTAGTTCCTCCACTCTCCTAAACACTACTATTTTTTATTTTACAGTTCCTTTATTTGCCATGTTTATAGAGGCGTCCTTGCTTTCTGATCTTATCTCTCAGTTTGTTACACTGATACCTATATGTTTATGCTAAAAAAAAAAAGTTAATGAGAGTGACATTTCTGTGTCTGATCTGACCAAAAAAATGAATGGTTAGGGCCTCCTTGGTGGTGCAGAAGGTTGAGCACAGTGCTGTGAAGCTGTCCGCAGCCTCTGTAGTGCCGTTTCTATCCCTGCTGGCCACAGAGCAACCCACATGGTGAGGCAGACCTCTCCTGTCTCACCCGCTGCTCCCCTCAGCAGTGTACTTCGGTCAGTCTGCCTGTTCTGTTACCTACTCTGTCTCTGGTGAATCCTCTCACACTCCCGGACATCTGGCCTGTACCCCGGTTCTCGTATAAAGAAATAAATCTTTAAAAAAAAAATGAACGGTTTCCTAATGCTAGGTATTCTTTAGCTGAATATGAGTGTGATTAGTGTATTTTGTTTTCTTGTGCAATAAATATTCAGAGTCCCTTTTGAAGTCTTGGGATTAGTCAGTTGCTATGACATAGGACTTTAAAGCATCCTACCTGTGCCCTGCTGCTTGTCCAGTGTTCCATTGAGACTAGACCTATGGTATCTATTTTGTTGTACAGCTTATGTCATATTATTCAGTCATAAAAATGAGATTCACTAAAAGTATATACTCTGTATTTTATTTGAGGTATGGGAGTGGATGGTCCCAGTTTTGGTGGAATGAATAGACTTGGAGGAGGTATGTAGAAACATTTGTTTTTTGTATGTACCTATCATATTTTTAGTAAGTTAGAAATTGTGCTGAGATTTGCAAGGGAAAAAAGTCATTGTTTATTGTTGGCTCAGTCCTAAAGGCTGCTAGCAAAAATTGAGCCTGGAATTAAGGTATATCAAAGGTATGTGTAGGGTGGAGGAAGAGCTCACTGGTGAGAATCAACATTTTAAAAATGGATCTTTCTTCTTTGTAACTCACAGTCAAATCTCAAAATTAATCTTTATTCCATAGGAATTGGGTTTGGTGGTCTGGAAGCAATGAACAGCATGGGAGGATTTGGAGGAGTTGGCCGAATGGGAGGTAGGTAATTGGAATGTGTGTTCAACATTTTTTTTTCCCTATTATTAAAAATTTCCCTTCTTAGGAATGGGTATTGTAGATGTCTTCAGAGGGCGTATGGGCTATAGGGGTTAGGGAAAAGCATGTTGAAAATGAGGGTTGTATGTTGTATGTGAGGTAAGTTGGGTTAGTCATAGACTTGTATTTGTGACTTTTGCTTTTTTTTAGCTTAGCTTTGATATGTTAATAAATGGATTACCATCTATTGAGAAACTTAAAAATGGGCTAATTTGTTGCATAATCTTTTCAGAGCTATACCGCGGTGCAATGACTAGTAGCATGGAGAGAGATTTTGGACGTGGCGATATTGGAATAAATCGAGGCTTTGGAGATTCCTTTGGTAGACTTGGTAGGGTTGGCTGCATACTTCTTTTTACAGGCTATAGTTTTCAAATTTTGTTTTTTTGTGTGTGTGTATGTGTAAAATTAGAAGTTTGTAATGTTTCATGAATTTTATTTGAAGAAAAAGACTTTAGGGATTTTACAGTACTAGCTATCTTTCAGTATCTTATATATATGAACCCTATTTCTAGAAAACTGTATGGTTTTCAGTCTCTGTACATCTTCTGAGAGCCTAATACCTTGAGAATTTTAAAGTATGATTATTTAAATTAATTAGTTTATTATCTTTCCATCCTTGTTTAGGCAGTGCAATGATTGGAGGGTTTGCAGGAAGAATAGGAGCTTCTAACATGGGTCCAGTAGGATCTGGAATAAGTAGGTTTAAATTTTACTAGAATTTATTTTGTAAAATGAGTGCTTGCAAAAGACTTTGCAAGAGTACTTATTGTGGTAGAGTAATACTTTTTGATTTTATGTTAATAAGTCTTGTCATAGTTTAGAGAATCTTTGATAGTTATTGAACTTTTCTGTTTGATCACTGTTTGAAATTTCTAATCTGAATTTTACTTCCCTGGCATGTCTGAACTAATACCCAGAGTGTATGTTAGCAGCTAATTCAAGAACCTCCTTTCCAACTAAGGAATGTAAATACATTCTAATCATATGTCTAATCATATGTCCAAAACAGCTTCTGCTTTTGTACCAATTTTGTTTCCTCGAGTATTTCTATAACTATTCTTGTTGACTAGCATTATTTCATCTGTGACTATCTTGTGTCTTTTGTAAACACAGGTGAATTGCCCCAGATATGACAATTTTAGATACCTCCTGATGTTAAGATGGAAAGAGATGCTTGTTTTCTCTCAAACTTTTCCTGTGGTAGACTCAAGAGTAGTTTCTAGGAATGTGAATCCCTTCCATTTGTTTCCATAACACATTTTAGGCCTTTTATTAAGGTTTAACGAACGGATTGGTTTTGACCTCCAATTGCCATGTCTTTGAGTTCTCCATACTTCATTGATGTCCTTTAATTGATAGAAATCTCACAAACAGTAAACACAGTCTCCTTAAACTGTTCTAAAAATGAATTCAAAAATCCTGTCAGCTGAAGATATCTACTTCCATTTCACTTTGCTTCTCATTTTGTTCCTTCTTCCATCGTCTTTTCAAGCCTTGGCTATTTCTTCCATTAATCATAGTTTTCACCTCAGTGTTTACACTTCTGTTTCCCTAATTTTATACTTATTATTCACAGAAAGCCAATTTGAGGGTGATGTTAGTATTTATAATTGTTGCTGTCTATGAGGATAGCAAGTACCAGAAAAAACAGTTTTGAGAATGAATAAGATTGGAATAAAGGGGACTTAGCACACAGGAATGAAGGGGTGTATGAGATAGGAGCTAAACTTTTAAGCTCAAGCTATGGGGTGTGCTTCCATTTTTGTTGTTGTTGTTGTTGTTTCCTCCACAAATTCTATATAATACCGAAATTGAAAGCTATTTTTCTGAGACAATTGAAAATTTAATTGATATTTAATAAAGAAAGCATGTGTGAAACAGAAGAGATAACTGAGGTGAAAGTAAGCTAGGAAAATGTTACATAGGAGGCTATGATGAGAGGAACATCATAGTCTGGAATTGTAATAATTTGAATTTATCTCCATGTCTTTTGTCTGGCAATTACTAAGCTAATTATTGGAAAATAAAAGTGAGGATAAAAACGATTATTACATTAATGGGTAAAGTAATTGGTAGAAAACTTGTAACTTCTCTGCTGTGTTTTATGATTAGACTATAATTTTATAGAAGTATAAAAGATAATGTATTTACATTGTAGCAAGAATTAACAGGTTCAACTAGCTATTAATATTCAGCTAAATGTATACCAAATTAACTTCTGTTCCAAGGAAGACTCTTACTGTGTTTACGAAATAATTTTATGGTGTATATATTATGGAATTACGTAAATGAATTGTTCTCTTAAAATGATTTTCTCTCTCCCCTTTTTTCTTCTCCTTTCTAAAAAACCGAAACCAAATTCTCCAAATCCCTTCCCATTCTGAAAATCCAGGTGGTGGAATGGGTGGTATGAACAGTGTAACTGCAGGAATGGGGATGGGACTGGATCGGATGAGTTCCAGCTTCGAGAGAATGGGTCCAGGCCTCGGAGCTATCCTGGAAAGGAGCATCGATATGGATCGAGGATTTTTATCGGGTCCAATGGGAAGTGGAATAAGAGACAGAATAGGCTCCAAAGGCAACCAAATATTTGTCAGAAATGTAAGCAACTAGATGTGAAGGGTACTTAAAATTATTTCTGTTGTTGTATATCTGTTACTAATACCTTTTTTCATTCTAGCTGCCTTTTGACTTGACTTGGCAGAAACTAAAAGAGAAATTCAGTCAATGTGGTAAGTATGCCGATGACAGCAGACACATTGATGTTAATTATGGAGGAAAAATTGATTTTAAGCTTTTAAATACTTTGTTTAGACTGTTACCTGTCCAGATGTTTATTCATAGTTTGCCAGGTCTAGTTCTACTTCAAGTAGATGAGTTATTTTTCTATCCTGACTTAGAGCAGTGCAAATTACTACTAAATAACAAGATTTAGAGCAGATCCTGTCTTTGTTTTCTGTGGATAACTTTTTTAATTACCTGATTTTTAAAAGGTTAATATATCATTATTATATGTGTTTAAAAAGGCTGTTTGTTTGGTTTTTTTTTTTTTTTTTTTTTTTGGTCATGGGAAATGTTAAAAATGGTATATTTACTTCTTTGTTCATAGTGTAGTGCAGTGCATTATCAGCAGACCCAGTGAGATGCAGACATTCAAATGATACGGAGTTAATAGGTGAGACCCATTTCTTGCCTACTACACAGGAATCTTAGCCGAGATCACCTTAGATATACACACATTCTGGTGACCCTTCTAATTTCTTGGCTATAGTACTCACACTACCGTTCATATAGTCATTAGGTCTGTAGATTAGATGGTATATTGATTAAAATAGGGCCTTTTGTTTATCAAACTTATTTTTGCTATAAAATATCTTAATTGATAAAGTGCTCGTTTTATTATTATTGTTGGTTGTGTGAAGAGATCACGGTGAAGAGTAACAGATATCCTGCTAGATTATTACATGTTATCCAAAGACTATAGTCAAAGTAGTGATTTATTTTGGTGGCACATAATGATGAAAAAGGGCTGAAAAAGTGATACATTTAGCCTTTGAGATGTAATGGAAACCTGAAAGTATGTGGACTCTTATCTGTAGTTTTTTACAGAGTTCAAGACCACAAAAGTTGTCTTTTGTGGTCACCAGCAGAGATAATATTTTATGCTGTGTTCTTAGAGTACTTTATGCCTAACTCGATTGTAATAATTTGGTCACATATTTTCTTCCCTCCCAGGTGCAAGCTCTTGAGGTCAAGAATTATTTTTTATCCTAACACCTCTCATTGTGTCTGTCCAGATGGTCGGAATCTAGCATATGTTTACGAGTTAAGCATTCTGAGCAGATCTTCAATTTTTCATTGAACTTACACATATATTTTAGGCAGTTGACTTACTAAATTTAGAAAGGTGAACAGACACTTAAAGAATGTACAGTGTGATTCTTAATATAGATATCTTAAATTCACACAAAGAAACTTAAAATATTTTTTTAATCATAAAGTTGTTGCACTGTGTCAATGAGTAAATAGACACCACTAAAAGAAAACAGAATTCTAAAGTCGTTTTTGGTTATTGGCTCTCTTTATTAGGAGTAAAATCTACTAGAATGAGTAAGCATCTGACCATGAATCCCATTAACTACAAAGGAGTGAACATATTAAGGCTTTCTTGGAATGCATTTAATGAAGAGCAGTGGCAGCACATACAGGCTAGTTTCAGTAAAAAAGAAAAATCCCAGATGAGATAGAACATTATTTTAAAATGTAAGAGTGAAATGAGATAAAAGAACAAAGGGTGCAAACAAATGACGTTATTGAAAATGTGACCACTACAGGGTTTAGAGGGCTGTTTTCTTCTTAAGGTCAGACGGGAGCAAGACTTGCAGCAAACTTGAGGGGTTTTTTGATGGCTTTTTTGCTGGAGTAGCATCGTTTTTTTTTTTGTTTGTTTGTTTTAAAGATTTATTTATTTGTTTATTTGTTTATACAAGCACTGGGTACAGTCAGAAGTGCGGGAGGGTGAGAGAATTCACCAGAGCCAGAGCGGGGAGCAGAGCAGGCAGAAGGACCAAAGTACACCGCTGAGGGGAGCAGCGGGCGGCAGGAGAGGTCTGCGCGCCATGTGGGACCCTCCTCCGGTGGCCGGGGAGCAGCCGGGGATCGAACCGGCTCTGCAGAGGCTGCGGGCAGTTTCGCAAGCCAGCGTTCAACTGCTGCGCCACCGGGGAGGCCCTGGAGTAGCATCATTTTGACAGGGATATCAGCAATTCAAACATATCTTATGAAAGAAAGTATGCAGCACTACATTTTAAAAAATGCATCTTTATAGTGTTTTAGCTCAGGGTAAATTATTATTCTCTACTTTGTTATTTTAGTTTAGTTATTATTCTCTACTTTTGTTATTTTATTTTACTTTGTTTTAGTCTTACTCCATTTCTATCATTATATAGTTATATCATGAGATTGAGAATGCTTTTCTTCTCAGTTATATTGAAAAACTTTCAGATTTCTTTCCGATTTCTAATAAGGTAATATACGTAAATGATTCTCTGCCATCTTCCTATTTATAAACTAGGATTTTATTAAAGGGAAAGAAAAGAAATTATAGTAATATAAAATTACGTATCTTGCTGTTGACAACCTGGAAACTATCTGACTTGTATGAAGTGAGCTACCTATTTTTTTGGTCCATGTATCTTTTTTATTTTTAAATCTTAAGAGTTTTAAGTTTTATAATCTCTTATGGTATGAGATGTTTCTTTTTGTCCTTTTTCAAGCTAGTAATGACCCCTGTTTCACAGTAAAAGGCAGGTTTTGTTTGTTTGGCCTCTCTATCTGCTTCAAACCTGTAGCCCAGGTGAGTAAGTATATTCCTTTAGTTGCTTCTAGTAAGAGTCTAGTGGTATTCCATCTCTCCCAGACAACATCTACCAATAAATGGCCTACCAGCAAGTCCTCTGCTTAGAAAATGTCTGTAGGAGTTAACTGCCCTTCATGGGACAATTATAAAAGCTAAGAAAATGTAGTTTTATGAGTTATATTAACCTCAATATAACATTTACTCAGCTTTTATAATCTCAGAAAAATGTTTTCAAATGTCCTCAAATATAGTAAAGTGAGAAGTAAGGGAGTATAGTAATATGAATCTTTTTTCACCTGCTCTGTGTAACTCCTGTCTCTCCTGTGGCATGCATTTTTAGGAAGGCTAAGTATATAAATAAGTTGTTAAGTGACCCATTCAAAGTTGGAATTCACATTAGCTTGATTTGTGCTAATGAGGTAAAAAAGGAACAATCTTTCAAACTTGCTCCCATATTATCTATATACTTTAGCTGTATTCTGGCCTTCTGGGTTAGTATGACGTACTAACATTTTGGAACTGCAGCGCAAGGAGAGCCCTTTCTTAATGATTTCCACTAAAAAACCATGTCACCAAGTATGGCTTTGTTCTGTATGTATTTTTCTATATTAGTATTTTTCTATATGTATTTTTCTATATTGTTAATTGCATAGAAAATGAGAACTTAGGATAGATTTTATTTACTTTAAACACATGCTTCGGATATGACTTGTGGACTTTAATTCTAGAAAACAGTAAAAATAATGTGGGAATAGTAAAAATAACATATGAAGAGTATTCATTGATAGTGTCACTTACTTTTGTTTGTAAAGAGACATTAAAACTTTTTTGTATCTTATTTCATAGTTGTGCTTTCTTGCAAATGTCTGATTTTGCTTTTTTTCCTCCTTTGGTTGTATTAAAACCTTACAGTAGATTTTATTGAACCATTTGTCTCTCTATTTACTTACAAATAAGTGTTTTAATGTCACCTATTATTAGATGTGCTTTTATATTGGCATTTCCCAAAGTATCCCTCTCCCCATCCCCTCCCCGCCCCCAGAAGTTAATAGACTGGGTTAAATAAAGTGCAAATGTTTCTTTTAGTGCAGGATAAGGCATTTTTATAACTAGTATATGTAGCAACAGTATGTTCGATTATGTCTTGATTGCTAAAACACTAGTCCTATTTTTGTTTTAATTGGCATCATACTGAAATCATTTAAGAAATTGAAATTAATTGAAATTGAAATTAAGAAATTGAAATCATTTAAGATTTGAAATCATTTAAGAAAGTCTTAAAATAAAGAAAAAGTCCTCATGGCATGTAAGAAGACAAGGGAGATTTTGATTTAATCAGTTTTTTAATATATATTTTTACATCATTTTTCATTTTTGTACAATGTATGCATTTTCATCTTGGTTATAGTCCCACCACCCTTGTTTTGATCCTACTCTCTCCCCCCCTCCCCCCTTAGTGTGTCTCTGGTTTATAGTTGCTTGTTGATTTTGATTTTTACTTTATTATAATTAGTCTTTTTCCTGGTCCCTTATTTAGGTTTTTTAAATTCCTGCTATGAGTGAGACCATCCGGTATTTTTCTTTTTCTTTCTGGCTTATTTCGCTGAGCATGATCCCTTCCAGCTCCATCCATGTCCCTGCAAAGATTTAATCAGTTTTTTGAAGCTAAATTTTTTCTTGTTATTCTTTAGAAAAACTATCTTTATTTAGGTTCCAGGATTCAAAGATACTGGGAGGACTTTGGAAAATTGTTCTGCTTCTATATTTAGAAAAAAAATGCACTCTCATTTTCTCTCGGTCACTCTTTCGTTTCATTTTGTTTATTAGAAAATATGATTCCTTTGTGTGTTTTTTGACCAATTGTAGGTTACTGTTTGGGCATATTCTAATCATTACATTTTTTCTTGAGATTAGTCTGTTTTATTATTTTTAAATACATTTAAGGACTAACTGGCCTGTGTTGCAATATCATGTTTTTGGGATAGTATGACATTTATTAACTTGGAGCATTTATTAGCTATTGGATAGGTGAGTGATTGATTACCAGTTGATTAAAAACAAAATGCAGTAATGGACGGGTGGAAGGAAAAATGAAAATAGACAAATAGTCCAGGATATTGAAGATAAGAAATCATCTAGTATTAATTTACATAGAAAAAAAAAAAAACCCACCTGTGCACTGAGATTAAAAATTGATCCCACTTATACAAGTTTTTAATAAGCCCTTTGCTTAACTTTCCCCCCTTTGCCCTTTAGTCCCTTATAAAATAAATATGTCTGGCTCTCTGATTTGGTTTCCAGACTAAAATTACCTTAGGTGATCAGGCATCTATAATATTTAAGGAGAGGAAATATGGTAAGTGAGTCTCGCTTTTTCACTCCTAAATCTGTGTAGGTCAGAAGTTTATACATCCCAGTTTTCCTGGAATAACCTCATTATATTCCAGCTGTTGTTTGTAATTAATAGTAACTCTCCCTTTAAAGTATTCTGTGTAGATGATGAATTTTTATGATCACTTTATATTTTGATAAATAATATTAAGTTACTTCAAATACCAGTCTCTGGAGTTAGCAGTTACCTGGTTTTCCTCCTTCTGAAAGCTCCTCTGAGGTTCTTTATGCTGATACTGTCACTGTTATTACCCTTATTGATTTATATCTACAATATCTCTTCCATGTCTGTTTCTGTAACATTTGGTGCCACTCTTAGACTTGGGGTTCAAATTGTGATATTGAATTAAATGACTTTGGCATTGTCGTAAAATTAGTGGGGCCATTCGTGAACTGGTAAAAATTATATTTCTGGGCTCTTGCTACTGTTGTAAGAATGAAGGAGTGATATGGGAGATAAAAGGGAAGGAAGAGAGGCTAGGGGGATTGGATGGAAGAAACAATTTTAAAAAAAATTCTTTTGTGAGTTTGTAGGGACTGGTTGATTTGGTAGCATTTTGTGCTCACTTGCTTTTTTGCTATAGAATTCGCTTTCAGAAATTAAGGCTATAACAAAAAGAGAAATTGGATTCCAGTTTTGTATATTCTAGCATATATATGACTATATAAATGATACCTGGATTATAAGATGTGTAACAGTGCTTATTTGATGTGTCATTTTTGAATCATTGTTTTTAACCAAATTACTTGCCACTTTATTGACATAGGAGGAACTTAAAACCTGTGTTATGAGATGGAACCTGTTTACTGAATTAGAAATTCTGTATTTTACAGGTCATGTCATGTTTGCAGAAATAAAAATGGAGAATGGAAAGTCAAAAGGCTGTGGAACGGTCAGATTTGACTCCGCAGAATCAGCTGAAAAAGCTTGCAGAATAATGAATGGCATAAAAATCAGTGGCAGAGAAATTGATGTTCGTTTGGATCGTAATGCATAATTTCAAACCACGGTTGGAACATTCTTACATCTGTTTTGCTGAATCTCCTAGTAAAAGTCATTTTTTTAGTAATACTGTATGCTTACAAAAGCTGTAAAAATGAACTTTTAAAACTCCCACCAGCTTTTAACAGTACAGTGTTAAATATACTGTGATTTTTGTTAATCTCAAGTTTGGGTTTTTAAAGACAGCAAGTCTGGTCATTCAGTTTAAATGAATGGTTATACTGTTTTTAATGAAATAAGCCATTTTTCTTGTTGTTTTCAGTGCTATAGAGTGGGATTTATTTGGTCAGGTTTCCCCAGCTTTTATCAACTTAATGTAAGGTAAAAAAAAATAGATGCTCTTTTCAAAACTTCTGTTTTATATATGTAATTGTCCTTGAAAAGAAAGGGCTCAACAAATTAGGATATCATTTTGGTTGGTTTTAAATTATTTTTCTTTGGTGATAAAGATTTAATATAAGTTTTAAATTCTAAAGTTCAGGATATTTTTTATTTGACATAAGTGAAGAAATGAAGTTTTCTCTTCCCTTCTCCATCAGACACACTTCCACATAATACACTATTAGTATTAATCTCCACAGCCCCTTATTTTATTGTTTCCAATAATTCCAAGTTCATAGAGAACTGATAATGTAGCAAGCCCCAAATATACTAATAGGCAAACTGCTCCCAACTTTCTGTCTAGTTTCCATCCATTGAAGTGAACTGCTAAAAAAAGAAAAAGAATTGAAATGTTGAGAGAAATGGTTATATAAGTTAGTCCTCCGCTGTTCACTTCTATAGGAGCAGAGGGATGTATAAATGCAGTTTTAATAAACCATGGGACACCTAGGCACAGCATGTCAAACACATTAGATCCCACAATGTTAGACATAGCCATATCTCCTTTGCCTGTTAAAAAAAAAAAAGGCATGTTGTTAAAAATGTACATACCAATACTGTATTTTATTAATAAGGTTCATAAGTGAAAACACTGGATTTTTTTTTGTTTGTTGGGTTTGGAAAATTGTTTAGAGCAAAAGACTTACTGAATTTGTATATTTTAATTTTGGAGTGGTAGTATTTAAAGTCTTAACATTTATTTATCTAATAATAATTATCTTTATTTATTAAACCATTTTCCAGTAAGGTATATAGATTACTTGTTGCTTTTCATTCTAATTTAACATGGTTCATTACAATTTAATGCACATTTCAGATGAATATTATTTGGGGAATTAGATTTAGTGAAATTAATCTGCTATTAAATAGTAAATCCTTCCTCTTGAGTCACTTCCTTTTTTTTCCTGCAAAATACATTACTGAGGAAATGCATGTTCTAAAAATTTCTTTGCTCCTTGTGGTTCAGCCAGGCTTGAAGAATGGGCATTGCAACTTGAGGGACCTTGTTCTTACCTTTTCTTGCAACCAACACACTTGCAATTGTGTCTGGTATGCTTGTTCCTGCTGCTAATAAAGTAAGGCCCATTACTGTATCTGGGATTTCTAATGTTTCCCCTGTAATAAACATAAAACATAGATATTGCCAATTACCAATCTTAAAAATCTTCACTGACCATTCTCTGCTGATATTTCATATAATTCCTTCCTAAACAAAAACAGGCACAGTTAGATTTCAGAACCAATATGTACTAACTTAGATTTAATAGCAAAATATATGAATAAGATTGGTTAATAGGGTAACCCAAGTAGCATAGAATTTTAATGACAGATTTTTAGATAGCTAAAATTCTGCCAAGGAGTCATTCTCTTATATAGTATCTTATAGATGTTTTAGATGTCCACTGTAAATCTTGACAAGGTTGTTGCTTAATATTTGCTAATGAGATTGGTTATTTTCTCTTTAAAAACATTTTATTAAAGTGGTCAGTTAAGCAAATATATTTATGGCTGTTTTTAAGCTATAAAGGTATTAATATGGTATAAATTTTTTAAGCCCTACTTAAGTGATATATCTTAGTATTTTCTTTGGGAAAATAAATATCTGAGGAAAACAAAATAGAGTTTTATTTAAATCTAACATATTATGGTCTCAATTTAGTAATACTTTGTTATATTTGATGTCAGTTCAACATTCATCAGACCATGTATGCATTCTAGGAAACAGAACCAGAGGGAAGTTATTTTTTAAAAGTACATGTAACTCTCTTTTCATGTTGTAACTTAACGGTATCATTTTTTTCTTCTTTTTTTAAAAGGCCAGTTGAAAGAAGTTTTTAAAAGTTTTTAAAAGGCCAGTTTAGCTTATTTATTGCATGCTTATATATTGTAATTGGTTGTTAATTTTCACTGGTTTGCCAGAATTCAAATGTACATAAATAACACTAATATTTATCATCTGGGGACTTTTCTATGACCTGTTCCTTGATTACGTTCTTTTCTTAATGTCAAATATGTTCTGAATGAGGGAAGTTTTAGAGTGACTTAATATGCAAACTAATTAGGCATTTTTTTGTCCTCCTCATTAAAAAGAAAATAAAAGGAAATATGCTCTTTTTTTGCTAGAATACTATTCTATGTCATATATTTAATTTGGGAAAAGTCAGAAGTCAGCAAGCTTTTTTTATAAGTGGACAGATCGTAATCTGTACGTAAATTAAATATCGTAATTATTTTGGGCTTCGCAGGCTGTATGGTCTCTGTTGCAACTCTTCAGCTTTGCCAATATAGTGTGAAACATCCAATGATAATGTATAAATGAGTGGGCATGATTGCGTTCAGTAAAACTTCACTGCCAAAAACAAGATACCCAGTGATTCTTTGGGCACACTGGCCAAATCATGTATTAGAGTCACTCTAATACATGTCAGTTCAGGTAGTCTTTTTGGGAGAAATTCCTAACTTTTTTGTTGTTGTTTTTTATAATTAGTTTTTCCTTCTGGATTAAGAGTTCTGTTGGACTAGAGCTCATTGTGGCCTAGGAGTAATAGTTATAGTTAAGTCTCAATAGAAAGTAATAGAAACCTATAATGAAGATTTGTTTTATACCCCATTCACTTATTTTATAGTATGTTTATATTGCCATATTAAAAAGCAGAAATAAAATGTAATACAGTTAAAACAGTGAGTACCCATCATTCTCCCAAAACACTGACACCTTGCTGTATTTTTCACTGTGGAATGGAATTCACACAGAGTGAATGCAACATGATTTAATTACTAACATAATGGAAAGATAGCCTGTGGATTTGATTTCATTTATAAAGTGATCCTTTGACTTGTACCCCTGGGCTGTATAATAGTGAGAATATAGTTGATATGTAATACGCAACTGAAAACCTGAATGAACTTGTCATATTTGATCTTTTTTGTAAATAACACTAATCTTTAGTCTCGCTGGAAAAGAAATTTGCTCCTTAGCTAGACAACTTTTGGTGATTACATGCAGTTCTTACATTGAAATTGATTTTTTTTCCTTAAATTGTGCATACCTGTTATTGTGACCATCCAAACCAGGATATATGTAAATGCAGATATCCATAGTGCAGACATGAAAAAAGTTATCACAAAGTAATTTTTCCAAAATTTTCTTCTACAATCTGGTGTAGTTAGAAAAAGTAATGTAATAATAGGAAGGGATAAAACCCAAAATATTCTTTTCAAGTCTGCTTCAGGCATGTTGAAAACACTTGGTGGATCTGTTGAGAAAAAATTAAACCATTTTGAGTTTTCTCAAATGGCCAATTAAGTTAGAAATGTCTATTTAGAAAGTGGTATTGAAATAAATTAGCTGTATCAGTTTTTAAGAGGCTATTTAAAACATTTCAATACCCCATTACTGATATTGCTGGCAAGAAGAAACTAATTGAGACTTTAGGGCAGACAGTGTGAAAAGTGGTACTCAGCAGTTCTTGATTTGGGGTCTTAAATCCATCAAAATGTCTTGGGTCATTCACTAAATATGTTAGATAATAATGTTTATGAAGTGTCGAGGACTCTTGGTTTTCTACAATGTAGGTGGACTTTGGCAACATTTTACTTATGGATTAGCCTGGCTTCCACCTTAGCTACTCCAGTTGTCTCCATTTCCCCATATTGATGATACCTCTATAGATCCTGTGTATCAAATGATGCTTTATTATAAAATAATTATAGTAAAATCTTAAGTTCAATATACCGTTCTGGTTCTCATTAGAAGTGACTTTGAGGGTATGTTTTCTTTCATTAATATCGCAAATTCAGAATTCAATGTAATTGTTAGAACCTTAAGAAAATGCAAACAATATAATCTGCAAATTGTAAAATTTAAATGTTGTCCTATATTTAGTTTGTTGTATTAAATTAGTGAAAGACGATAATATATTGGACAAAAATGGGAATTCACTTTAAAATTACTTAAAACTTGAATGGTATATTTACGAAATAATGTACCCATGTATTGAATCAAATCACATTACTCAAGATAATTCACAATATTTGCCAACCTCAGCCAATAGTCCATTAAAGAATATTAAATGCAATTTTAGTGTAATTACAAAATTTAGTTCTTTTGAGTTTCTTGTTATAAAATCTAACCTCTTTATACCTCTTCCATCTGAAAACTAGCGAGTATCATTTTTATAAGGTGATGAAAAAGTCATTTTTTTAGGTTGTAAAATAAAATAGAAAACATAATTAAATATGAAATGTGTTTTTTACAACCACTTTATAAAAAACTAGCCCTAAATTTTTATTTTTGGCCAGAGGTGAATTTGATTTTCCTGCTAAACATATTTGCCTGAATGTTTCACTTCGGCGTCAGATGACATGTCTAAGACTCAATTGTTTCATTCTTTCTTTATCACCAGCCCTTTTTTCTCAATTCCTAGCTTTTGTAAGTGGTGTTCCCATTTTCTCAGTCAGTTGTGATCAAAGCTTAATGTATTTGCTCCCTGTTCTGACCTGATAACATACAGTCTTCAGCCACTGAATCTTAGTGATGCTTCCTCTGCGTTGTCTCACATCTGTTCTCTCTCATTCCCACTGCCTTTTCCTGTCTAGTCATCTACTAAACACATTGACTGTTACAGTAGCTGCTTACAGCCCTCTGTGTCTTTATCCCAAACTTCAGTTCTAATGATTTCCCTGCTCACAGACCTGCAAAGACTCTTAACACTAGCATTTATGACTCGTTCCTTTCTATCTCCCATTCCTCTGCTTCCTTACTCTCCATGTTCTCTGCTCCAGTTATGCTAGTTTCTGAACAGGTTTTTGCTCATGTTGTTTCCTTGGCATCAATCACAGAACAAACTTGACTCTTAATCTCTGCCTTACATAATGAAGACTTCAGTAGCTGTTACTTACTGGTCATAAAGCAGTTCATCAGTTGAAATCTTAACCTGTCCTACAATGCTGTTTAAATGTTTGCTTCTCTATGATAATCTCTCCTGTGGAACCATCCTCATCAGGTTTTATACAGTCTGTCCCATTTAGGTGTTACACTTTATTTCTTCTTTAGGGTACTGACACCTTCATATTTTTGTTACTTTGTGTTTACCCTACCATATTTCAAATGACTTAAGCATAGGAGCTGCTGCTTCATTATCTCAGAATTTCAGTTTTGTTTTGTTTTTTTACATAGTAAATACCAGTAGTACTTGCTAAATTAAAATGAGATTTTGAAGTTTTTCTAGTGAATAGACTTAATAGTGAGCAGGACATGATTATATTACCTTCAGAAACCTCCCCAAGACCATGTAAACTTATAGAAAGTTGAGAATAGCCAGAATCCTCATAAAATATCCCACTGTCGGTTCTTGATTGTCGACGGATGAATGGTTGACCTTCATCTTCCCATCCCATCAGTGACTCTTGTTCCCTTCTCTCTTCTGTAGCTTTGGCAACACAGGTGCAGCAAGCACTGCATTTCTTTATAATATATTGGTTAATTTTAATGTCAAAACATAGCACTAAGACATATAATCCATATATGAAAAGCAGTAAAGTTCCTTCATACCTATAAATTAGAGAAATTTGTGTGTTTTTAAATTAAAACCAAAAATCAATAGGATTTGAACTGTATCTGTTCAATCATCTAACAAACACATCAAAAACATTTCTAGATAATATTTTGGTTTTATAGATGTTTCCAAATTGGTTGTGGTATTACAGACTTACTCAAAAGCTTGGCATTATCCTTTCTATA